TCAGCACTCTTTGTTTTCTCTCTTGGGGTGATTCTTCTTTCTCTCTGGACCTCAGAACCCCAAGTTCTTTACAGCTCCAAGCTTGTGTGAAGATTGAATTGGAAAAGTGCAAGGACTCTTGTTCCAGAGAACATAGCTGCCTGTCAAAACCCATCTTCCTCTTCTTTCTTAATAAGAGACCGCCTCGCTGCCTGGCGCCCCCATGCCTGACCCCCGTGTTGCCCAACCCCCCTGCTACCCGGACTTCCTCTGTTGCCTGAACCCTGCCTCTGCCTGAATTCCTTTAGTGCCTACGCCCCTCTTTTGCTGATTAAACCCTTTTTCTGTTGCCTGAACCTGTTCGTCTCTGCCTGAAGCCCCACCTCTGCTGACTGAACCCCCTCTCCTGATTGAACTCCTTCTCTACTACCTTAACTCAGCTATCTGAACCCCCATCTCTGCTCTCTGAGCCCCTTCTGCTGATTGAACCTCTTCTCTGCTGCCTAAACACTCCCGTCTCTGCCTGAATCCCACTTCTGCTGAGTGAACCCCCTGGCTGCTGCTTGTGACCCCCCCCTTTGCACAAATGACCTCCCCCCACGTTTTTGTCCGCGCCACGGCCCAGGGAGAGTTCTTGTGGACGTAACAGGCGTCAGCAGCTGTGCTTCCCTGCAGAGACACGGCCAACAGAGCAGGCCTTTTCCTCCTGTGTTAATTCTTTGGTCATCGTCAGCTCCCCAGGCTGGAGGGTTGTGGATTCCATTTGGGAAAAAAATAATCTAGACGCAACCCTCAGGAGAGAATCTGGCTGTTCTCTTTACGAAAAAAGTTCAGGTGCATGCGTGTGGGGCAGTCACCTCTGGCATCCAGCGTCTGGTGACAGGCCAGCCCCCTACCTTTGCCCTCCAGGGTCGCGTTGGCGTTAAGATCGCCAGCAAACGGCCAGAAACCACCGTGCGAATTTCTTTGCAGGGTCCGTCGCGCCGGACCTGCCAGCACCGTGCTTGTGCCAAGTCCTCACGGCCGCCACATGCGTCTCCAGCATGACGGACGCCGCGTACGTCCTCTGCAGATGGAAGGAGCGGTTGTGGCCTGCAAAGGTGACAGCGTCACTGTGTAGTTTCAGGAATTAGAAGTGACTTTCGAGTGACAAGTAAAATCTTCATCGAGAGAGACCTACGTGTTGCTTCAGGGAAATAATTGAGCCCGACCAGTTGGCTGCCGTCTCTGTTGGCACTGGCTCTCGTTCCCCATTTAATGGGGTTTTGGTCGAGTGCTTGCAAGCTTACAGTGGCGGAAGTGTCTTTTTTCCACGCTAAAAAAAAAAAAAAAAATGAACAGAGTCGTTTTTAAAAGGCACGTGTAAGGCCGTAACTCAAGGAAATAACTGGCTGGGAGCCCTGCGCTAGTAAATAACGGGAGGTTCCAGCAACATGGGGGGGCGGGGGGCGGGCCGCAGGGCACAAACCCCGGCCTCGGGGGCGTGTGCCGCGGGCCTCGTGCCTCTGTTTCCCCACCTGTGAAATGAGCATTGGAGAATCGCAAGTTCAGGGGTCGTGTTAAGCAGTGTCTCCTATGTTTGTAAGTGGATGTGGTCCCTGCTTCTGGCTCTGTGTCAGCCGGTTCTCGTGTCAATGACGAGGATTTTCTTTTTTTGTTTTGTTTTTTTAACAGGTTTTGGCCAGAACCCAGGTGTCAGCGACAACTAAGAGAAAAAAAGGATTTTTTCTAAATGTTCAAATACTCTCCGTAGACAAAAAGTTAAGTGTCGTGTTTTTTTTTGTTTTTTTTTTAATACCATTTTTTCCCTCTATGGGAAACATCCCTGCTCCCCCCACCCCCAAAACGAAGTCAGCCCCCAGGGGCTTGCCAAGTGTTTAGTTACTGTAACTGACCGGTGCTCACGGAAACCCTAAGAGGACAGCGGCGGGTGGCTGGGAAGTCGGAGCTGGCGGGGGCACTGTGTGATCTCGAGGGGTCAGTACGCAGTGGAGCGAGCGTGAATCACACCCAGGGCAGGCTCGCGTGGCTGTCAGATGGGCTCTTTCCTTCCCGCGGATCTGTTTGTATGTTTTCAGAACCTCGTGTGACAGGCCCATCAGTTTTGAAATGTCTGATGTTCGAGCCTGTTCCCCTAATAAACGATTTTGGCATCCGGAAGGCACACCTGTGACTGGCAGCATGTCACTGGTCGCTTGGTTATCCGGGCTGGAAGGACAGAGCGGCACCTAGAACGAAGAGTTTTGAAATGCCCAGATCGTGCGTGCCTGGAGTCCGTGTGTCTGATGAAGTCCCAGTTCTAAATAGAGAATTTTAAAAAACCCAGTCGGCCCCCCACAGCCCCTCCTCAGCTCAGGCTTTCCCTGCGGCTGGGAAGGTAATTGAGTCCCCCGCATTTGAAAGGGCCGCACGTCCTTCTAAACCGAAACACACCTGCTGGGCTGTAAACAGCTCTTGGTGACATTACCGCTGCTCTGAAAACCTAACAAAGGAGTTATTTGTGCAGTTGAGAGTAGGATTTGCCCCACAAAAGTCACAATTTGAATTTGTTTTTACTCCTAGATTCAGCCAACCTTTTCTGTCTTAATGGGGGAGGGGGCACCGCAGTCTGGGGCCCTTGCTGCCTCTGACCCCAGGCATAGAAGTGCTCTGTTGGCCTTGACTTTTGGTTTAAGTGGGAAGGTTCAGAGAGAAAAAAGCGCATCTAATTCTTTTGTCGCCTAAAGAAAAACATGTTTTCGTCCCCGTGGCCTTGGCTGCTGCAGCCTCATCGTTTCTGTCCCCAATTCTCTTCCGGCAGAGTAAGGGTGAGAAGCACGGAAGCCAGGACCCTGGAGAAGTCCCACATCGAAGACATAGCCTCCTTGCTGGGTAAGAGCGGGCTGGGGTGTCAGGTAACAAAGGGAGGGGTTCGGGGAGACCCAGAGACCGGACTCCAAGTGGAGTTGTGCCTTCACCAGGGACAGTGGGCTGCAGCCAACGTGGGGGAAATCAGGGTGCCGTCTCAGACTTGCCCAGACCCCGCCGCCCAGGGCTGCCGGCCTCGGGGTCCGCTGGGACGGGAGCCTGTGCCTTTCTGTGCCCTTGTGCGTCGTGAGGCCGCGGCTCCCTGCCCAGGTGTCTGAATCCGAGCCGCGCCGGGGAGCGGGCTTGGTGCTGCCCTGTCTGCGGGAGGGCCCCCGCGACCCGCCCCCAGGTCCCGTGTCCGTGGGGAACTGGGCTTGTCCCCCGCCCACCAAACTCAGCCACGGGACGCACCAGCCCTGCAAACTCCAACACGACAGCGGTTTCTCCTCACAGCGGGAGTGCTCGTCCCGTGTGCAGGGCACTGCATCCTGCGACAGGGTCACCCAGAACCCCTCCCCACGGCGTTTCCAAAATAGGACATCTCAGTCTCTGAGAACCAACCGTGACGGCTCAAAGCAGCACCCCCTGCACCTGGACTGGTGGCTGGTCACCGCCGTCTACTTGCTCGGGTGGGCAGTGCCTGCTGTGAAGCAGGGAGACCCGAGTGGACGGTTGTGGGCTGTGCGGTCGCACCCGTCAGTGGTGGGGAGGCCGGGTGGGCTCCAGGCCTCGCACAGAGCGGGGACCGGCCCGGGGGCCTCGCCAGGGATCCCCTGGGCCTCTCTAGTCTTTGTTTCCTGGACCTGGGTCCTGTCGGCCTGATTGAATCGCAGTTGTCAGGCTGGGACGGGATTTGCTAAACCACTGAATGTATTTTTTTTGGTCGATTGTTTCGTGACCTTGAGGAATGTGTCTCTGACCCAATCAGGTTAGGGTCGCGCGATCCGGCTGTTTAAAAACAGATCCGGGTCCCCGAATGGGGTCTGCAGCCAGCTGTGCTTTTGTGCCCGGCCTCCGGCCGAGGCGAGGGATGGATGTCGGCAGCGGGTAGCTCGCGTCACCGGGCTCTGTCTTCCGCCCTCAGCCTCACAGAAGGACGTGCCTGCCGAGCCCGTGGAGGAGCTGACCTATAGGCGGGCGCTCCGGGTGGCTCTGGACATTCTGAATGAGGGGACCTGTCTGCGGCCAGAGGACATGGCACAGGGAGAGGGAGCCGCTGGGTCTGCGGGAGGGGACCCCACGGACTCGATCACTGCACACTGCGACCCCAGCCCTCCGCCCCCTGTCCCCACGGTCGTGCCGGCCAGCTCTGGGCCCGAGAGGAGGGAGCGTGTGCGCCAGAGCCTGGCAGGCTCGCCCACCTGCGGAGAGGACCCCAGGTGCCGAGGGGACCCCGAGAAGCGGCTTGGGGAGAACGAGAGGCCTCTCGCCCTGGTGGTGTCAGCCAGAGGTGGATCCAGGACACACCTTGAAGACTGGCCGGCCCCGAGTCGAAGGACGAGAAGTTCGCCACGGCAGCCCAGAGGGCAGCAGGCTGGCCCTCTGCTCTCGGAGGGCGGCCGGGGCAAGGGGGACGAGGACTCGCCTGGCCGTGGGGCAGCCCCGAGCTCAGCCCCCCAGGCTAGGGAGCGGAGTCTGCGGGCCAGGGTGTGCCACGAGGCCTGGCCAGGCGACGGCCCCCCTGTGCGCCCTGCCTGCCCGGACACGCAAGGCCCCGCTGCGAAGCAGCTGTGCTTGGCCGGGAGCCTGGACTCCGGGCCTAGGGGCCGGATGACTCTGCGCAGCACCCCCAAGCCCGGCGTGCCCGTGGATGGCTCGAGGCTACGCATCCCGGACGAAGGTAGGGCTGGCCCCGCGCTGGGCGGGGTGGGACCCGGGTGGGCCCCGGGCTGCGCGTGGGCAGGTCCCAGCGCGAGGCCACCGCAGCGGCTGTGCCTCCTCTGGTCTGCCTCGTGGCCCCCACGCTGGGTCGCAACAACCCTCTTTCTGCGCCCGCCTTCCAGCCGTGGCGTGAGGGCATCCCCTGCAGTCTCTTTGTCTCACTTGTTTGTCCCTTAAACGTTCTCTAACGGCACATGCGCGCCCGGGTCTGTGCAACACGGGTCTGCTTCCTGGTCTTTGGGGTCCCCTGTCACGAGCTGTTTTCCCGGGCCGGTGACTGAGTCTTGTGTGACGTTCTGCAGACGGTCGGTCTTCCGGAGAGTCGGTGGAGTCGGACCCCGTCCATCCCATCCTGGAGGACGAGGACGAGGACGAGGACGAGGAGCCCCCAAGGATCCTCCTGTACCACGGTGAGCCCCATGGCCGGGCCCAGGGCTCTGCGGCGCGTCCTCGCACCCCGCTGGCCTGGGGCCATAGCCCGCGCAGCACACGGCCGGGCGGGGGCAACAGCGGGCAGCCAAGAGAACGGTGGCTTGCCCCACCACTGGCATGTGGCCTGGTCCCCCTCGCGGGCCTTGGAGACCCCGGCCGCGTGTCTCATGGGCAGGAGTTCACGCCCTGCCACCCATGCTGCCTGGACGGGATCAGAGCAGGGGACACGGACACGGACCCCGCGTGTCTGCCTGGTGCGTGGACAGGACGTTGGAGCCACCGTCTCGGCGAGCGCCCACAGGCACGCGGCTTCATGGTCCCAGTCGCTTTGGAAAGGGTCATAGTGGCAGGGGCGTGGGGACCTGTCCCTCAGCCCCCCGATGGCGGCGCCCACGAGGCCAGGCAGTCCGGCCGCACACGCTACCCGCCCCCCCCACCTCGTCCGCTTCCTCTTGCTGCATCGCCCACCGCTCGTGGTTCCTTCGTGAAGGTGATGACGACCTGGACACTGCGTCCCCACACTGCCTGCCGACTTCTCCGGGGGTGGCCGGTTCTCACGCTCTGGGCACAGCGGGCAGGCTCGCCGAGCCTCGGCCCCCGCCGGTGACTGTACCGTCCCTAGCTCTCCCGCAGTGCCAGGCCGGAGTCACACGCCAGCCCCCCCCCACCAAGGTTTTGTGACCTGACGTTTTAGCATTTACGGCTTCCTTTTTCTGGAGCGTTTGGCGGGGCGTAGTTTGGCGGGGCGTAGGTTTCGTGTGGCACCAGCAGCTGGGCAGCACCTCCGTCTCCCCGACTCGGCTCCCGGCACCGCAGGCAGCTGAGCTTCACGGAAACCGAGCCCCATCTCGGCCCCCAGGGCGCCCCAGTCCGTTTCTGGCTCTGCTCCACGATCCCAAAAACGTTTTGTTTCGGAACAACTTGAGGTGTTCAGAGAAGTGGCAGGGGGCCCACTGCGCCGGCACCGGGGGCCAGGTGGCCGCGTCCACCCCAGTTCACGTGTCG